ATTGGTCAGTCCTCTCCCCGACTTTATGGGAAAGGGGAACTGTGTGCTTTCTGAAAGCTGCTTCCTATAAATCTCTTGCCAACCTTGCTGGTGATCTCATGCTAAGAGTGCATTTTCGGTGGGCAGGGGGATGACTGGGGAGGGGGGATTTTGTAAAGCTGCCTCAGTCACGGGCAGGAGTCCCCGGGATCTTAGCAATTGACTTTTTTGTTGTTGTTTTCCCAGAAACACAGTCCGCCAGGCAAGATTACAGCCCCGTAGACCTGACTTCCTGCTGCAGTCTCTGGAGAGAGAGGGCTTGTTGGGGATACCTTTCAATGAGTAAGAACACTAGATCTTTAAAAGTAGGAGAGGAGAATCTAATCGGAGTGGTGATTGCAATGACCTCTTGCTGTGCTCCTGCCACACTAACTGAATGTACCACCTTGTGAGCTGTGAAATTTATTAAGCTGTGCTGAGATCTTGCTTTGCATAGACATCTCTTCTGTGCAATATGAAGGGAAGCACAGTGACACGAAGAGCTTCAAACTGCGTATACAATGGAAAAGAATAACAGAGCAGTCAGAGCCAGTAACCTACCATGTGCTAAGAGCTTAGTTTCACCAGTACATAAATTTGAGGGAAAGACTGAACTTATGTAGTTCATCTAAAACACAGTGTGTTCCCAAAAGAGGCACAAGTTCTACTCTGCAAAGAGTCTGTGCAAAAAGGCTTTGGAGCTGTATGTGTTTGGAGCCTCAATGATTTCCAGAATTTGTGGGCTCAGCTTACAAGCAAAAGGTGTTTTTTCTAGCTGCCTGCCCTGCACCTTAACCTGGAATTTGTGTCACACTGGATACTTTCTGGCTCATGGATCCTAAACCCTGCCCTCGTTTGCTCCAAGACACCAGACAATCTAAATGGAACTGAATTTTGGCCTTGCCGTTGGAACTTAACAATTTCGTTAATGATGTGTGAGCTACAATAGAATCCTGCTCCCCCTGTCTTGGCTGAATTTGCTCTGCAGGGCTAAGAGGAGTAAGAAGTATTTGTTAGTCAATAAACAATCCAGAGCTGACCCTGAGTCCCCACAGGGTGCAGAGCTGCTGAGCAACCATTTTTGCAATCACTCTTCAGACTGTGATTTACAGTGCTGAGGATGCTCAAGGAGCCAACTGTGATGCTATCGGTGCTAGTTCTAACTATGCAATAAAAAAAGGAGGATTTGTGCCACCTTAGAGACTAACAAATTTGTTTGAGCAGACTAACACGGCTGCTACTCTAAAAGTTCTGACTATGGTATCACTTCACTCAGAAATGAATGGGTTGAAGCTGCACCTGCTGTAGAAGCATAGGTTTTTCAACAGGAAAACCTTATTGAAAGTACTGAGTAGGTTCTTTTCCATGCTCTCTTTAGAAACCCCACTTTTATAACTAGTGGTACAGCTTAAGGGAGAGGGAAGATACTGCAGTTCAGAGAAGTCTCTCTCTCTCTCTCTCCATTCTCTGTGCTGTCTAAACCTGGATCAGATCCCCACTGCAAGGACCAAAATGATGTAAAAATATACTCCCTGAATACTACTTTTTTTTTTTTTTTTTAAACCTGCTGTCAACAGGTTCAGGTTAAAATGCTCCAGGAGGGGAGATACCACGCACCTAAGATCCCTCTAAGCTGTGCGGCTGTGCAGCTGCCAGTATTAAGCCCCACACAGGGGCTCAGGGCTGTGATGGGGAGAGATGCCTCTCCCCCAGCATGGACCTGCCGTGGTGGGGAGAGGCACCCCTCCCTGCCGGACCCAGCACGGACCAGCCCTGGACTTGCCGCGGCCAGGGGAGAGGCGCTGCTCCCTCGGCCCGGCCCAGCCCCACCGCAGCTGCCACAGCCAGGGCAAGGCGCCTCTCCCCCAGCCCTGAGCTGCTGTGGTGAGAGAGGGCTGGGAGGAGTCCTCTCTCTCTCCACTGCAGCCCTGGGACAGCCTGCACCCCAAACACCTCATCCCCGACCTCACCCCAGAGTCCGCATCTTTCTCTACCCCAGCCTCTGCCTGAGCCCCCTCCTGTACCCCAAATCCCTCATCCTGGCCCCAGCCAGAGCCCTCACCCCCACACACACTCACACATCTCCACGCTCTGCCTGAGACCTGACGGCCGCCCCCTGCCAATGAATTTTGTTAGGTCACATCACCTTCATATTGGTGCACATAACAAAATTCATTCCGCCCATGGATGTAAAATATTAGAGGGAACGCTGCCAGGCACCATCTCTATCTGATGCTTTTTTGATCTTTCATGATTGTGTTGGTTCTTCCAGGCTTGCTGCCTGTTAAACAACTCGACATGGGGTCCTAACCAGGTTGCTATTGCCCCTTAGCAACAGTGCTTTTTATAGCAGGAGCAGCTCAGTTTCTTAGCAACGTATACAGTGTTTTTCAGTGGCTTACCGGGCTGTCTGAGTACAATGGATTAACCTTCACTAGGGTGAATGGTTATAACTACGTGTTCCCCTTCTGGCTATATTGAATTGAATATAAAGGAGAATATGGGGCTGGCTGGAAAGTAACAAACCCTTCTCTCTTTCCTTCCCTTTCTAGACTGGAGGGACGAGAGGTGCCTTTGCCGCAAACATCCATGAACAAATATTCTGCTCAGGCTCGGGCCTTACTTGCCTCAACTCAAACAGAGCAAAGCAGCTGTAATCAGCTGTTCCAGATGGATAGCACTAGTTACTCCTCATGCCCCCTTACTGTGCCTACCCCTCCAACCTGTGTACCATCTTGGACGCATGGCACATGCCATCCTGTTCAGACAAGTCCAAAACCAGTGCTGTTGCCTCCCTCATCCTTCATGTCACGTTTGAAATGTGAATCAGAAAAGGTGAGTTTCATGCAGAAGTAACTATAATACCGGACAACTGGAGTTGGCTGATACAGCTTTACTGTCCGACTTTCTTCTAGGGCTCCCACCCCTTCTTGCCTGAGCTGGCCTGTGCCTCCCCTAGCACCTGGTCTTGCCTTTTTAATAGATCAAGTTAGCTAGGCTCCAAATGCACATCAATCCTTTCTCCTCCACTTGCCACGGTCACTACAGTGACAATCTGAAGCAACAATTTGCTTTTTGGCTAATTCATGTGTGTGGTATTGCACTAGAATTCACGTCTTTCCTGGTCCTGTCCCCTTCTCAGCAAGATGTCATTACTAGCTGCTGACATCTGAGAGTGCTGCTCTATCAAAGGGTTCAGAGTAGCTACAGCCAGATGAAATCTAGTTGAGACTGACCAAATTCAGCAGCAGCTCTTATGTCTGCAGGTTTCTTTAGCAAACAAAGGGAGGGGGAGGGAGGAATGGGACTCTGCAAACATTTGAACAGCATTTAGATTCCTCTGCTCTATTGCAGAGGGGAAGAGTTGTTTACCCTTCCTGAAAGGATGGGAAAAGGCACCTGTGGACACCAAGTGAATGCAGGGGTCCCCCTCAGTGGAAGGAGGGCTTAGTATGTTAGGCCACAGACAGAGAGTCCAGTTTTAAAACCCTTTGTGGCCCTGTTCACCCAAATCCTATTTGAGCGGTGAGATAGCTGTATTTATATCACCTTATTGTGCTCCTGACTTTGTAGAGTGAAGGTCAGCCCTGGAAGGGTCACCCGGAAGCTTTTCTCCAAAACCCTCAACAGGCCACTGTGGGGAAGGAGAGGGAGCAGCCAAACTCACAGGCACATCTGCTGCTGTGCGAAGATGTCACAGGAAAAGAGAGCAGGCCAAAAACTGCAGGTATGTTCTCATGTCTAAATAACAGCAGCCATCCCCTGGCCATCCCTGACCTGGCAGCACTGAAAGCCTCCCCCAATATGTGCAAGATTGGATTGGGGAAGAGGCAAAGCTACCTGCTCATTGAGCCAGTGTGTGGGAGCTGACTGGGTGTTGGAGGAAGAAATCAGCCATTTGTTTTTTTGAAAGGGAAGATACAAGTGATACGATTTTCTATGCTCCAGGGTGTTCAGAAGATTAATTGGGAGACCAGTTCTCCAGAAGTGAAGGGTGGGAGCCTCTAGGACCCAGCCTGGCCAGAGAGACCAAAAGCAGAGCCTATTTTAATGCTGGGGAGTTCATATAGCATAACCCAAATACATACTCCTCCCTGTCTCCATAGAATGTAGAACTTGCTATAGAAGATGTCCCATAACACAAGAAACAATTTCACTGATACAAAGCACGGTTTTTGGGGTACTGCTCACCCTCAAAGGCATTAAGAACTCTCAGAGGGCTCCAAAAAGGGTAAGGCTAGGGAATAGAGGTCAAGTGTGCAGGTAAAGCCACAGCTTTGGGTTTTAAGGAGAGAACCCAATGGAGGGAGAGGGATAGTCAAGGGAGCAAGTGACACATTATAGCACTCATCCCAGCAGTGCTTTGACTGAATGCCAGATGTTACGTGAACCCCAGTGAGCAGGTAGGATCTGAACACCACAGCCTGCAGTTCAAAGCGGTTGTCTGCACTACAGCCAGGGTCTACCTTTAATTAGAAGCATGAAGTGCAGATTCTAAATGTTCCATAGGATGGGGATGAGGTGCTTCCTCCTAACAGGAATAATGTAAATTGTACAGTGTGTATCTGCTGCTTGTTCTTCCTGGGCCAAAGCCTGGATAACAGGTCCAAAACCACAGATCCTTAGTGCTGCTAAGCCATACATTAAAGGACCCCGCAACTCCTCATGCGTACGCAAGCTGAATTTGGAGTGAGTCAAATCAACAGTAACGCGTACAGGCTCTGTAGGATACTGCATGTTGGAAGTCTTGGCACATTCTCCTCTTGTGGGTCATGTTCCAGTCGCAGGTGAAGAACCACTCTGCTGTTAGCCTGGAAAGAGAGGCTAGAGGTGGTGGTGTGTCAATTTTGATAGACTAAATAGAATCAAAGAGAGAATCAAAGGTGTTTACTTGACCCTGTCACTGTGCAACACTAAACAGTCAAACTAGGCTCAGCATTTTGAATACAGAGACCTCAGGCTGCCTAGTACTAGGCCAAATACACCATTCAAAATCTCTTTTATTAAAGATACAGAAAAAGTCAAAACAGTTAAAGCATTTGAAATGTATGTAATACATTAAGCCTTTTGTTTTAACAATATCCTTTGTTCTCTTTCCCTTTGGCTGTATAAGGACTCTACCCACCCCCAGAAAATTAGTTGAGAAGGGTTTGAGCTACAGTTAGTTTTAAAGTCTGATCCTGTTTCCTTGCAAACAAGACAGACAGACACAAAAAGGCAGAGAAAAAAACAGTAGAGAGAAAATGCAGCTTCTGTCTCTAGTGCTGATTTTACTTTCAGCCCTGCTGCTGGAGAAACACAGGCCCAGTACGTGGCACACCACTCCGAGGCCTGGCAAAATTGTACCAGCATCACGCTTTGCTTTTAGCTGCCTCTCTGGTCATAGGCTCATTGTACTGTTGCAAAAGTGGCAGTCTTGGCAGGCTAAGCAAGACTCTTAGTAGACAGAGGCAAAAGGAAACGGAAGAAATAAGGTGCAGGAGGAAAATGATACATAAGAGAATAGGTGAAAGCAGGAACCAAAGTTTTACACCTCAGATGGTATTTGGGATTTAGCCAAAGCTAGTGGAGGTGGTGATGTCATCTTTGTTCATCTCAAAATCGGGATGGTGAAGGGCCAGTGGTGTCCCGAAGGACCCTGAGGTCCCAGGAGATGATGTGAGTGGAAGCCATGATATGAAGCTTGCTCCCTTTAGTTCACCCATCTCTATCCTCTCCCAAAGTCTTAAAAAAACAAAAACAAAAAAACCCCTCAAAAGTCAAGTAATGGACAAACTAGCCCATCTTCTCATTGTTCTGCTCACCAATTAGGCCTAATTTCTGACACGACAGTTTGTCTGTTTGAGTTCCAGACCCACACTTTTTTGTTTACCAGATATATCAGCACAGTCCCTGATTTATAGCAGGCCTTTTTGTTTGGACTAATTCAGTCTGTCTTAACTTTTGCTTAGTCTTATAAGCAATTTTATGTAACATGCTGAGTTGGACTTTCATTATCTTTTCCCCATCAACACTTATTGTTAGAGGTGATTGGATCATTTTATAAACTTTTAGCCACTTTTCCACAGTTAAGCTCACAAGTGAGGTAGGTCTTTCAGGACCCAGTTATTACAACAGAGGCAGCATATCACGATAGCAATGATGACCCACAGGCCCGGCACAGTGGTAAGTTTTTGCCTACAAGCCTGTCTGCTTCCCAGAGAGGAAGAAGCAGGAAATAGACAGAACCTCAACAGCATCATAATGTGTGTGCTTTGTGTTTGGTTTCAGTTGAAAGTAAGAGCAGACAAGGCTATTCCACGGAGGGAACAGAGCTGCAGAAACAGCTGGAAGCAGAGCTCCAACACATCCGACAGCAAATGCAGCATTACCACGATAGCAAGCAGGAGCTCAAGTACGTAGTGAAGTCCCCTTTAGCCAGCCTTACTGAGTGTTCTTAATCCAATGTTGCATTTCTGTATGGAAGTACAGTTCTGCTCTGAAAAGTGACACCTCCTTACTCAGCAGGTCTGTCTCCTGGGCCTGTTCAGTCACATCTGCTGACTTGAGTGTGTAAGAGTTGTGGGGTTTTTGTTTACTCTATTAGACCTGCACTGCCAATACAGCTTGGAAGGAGTTACCTTTTTGTGCATCCTTGGCAATGGTTTACTGTTACCTATGGCAACCAATGAAGGAAGTGTGGCCATACCAGTGTCACTGAGGGCATAATCTGAAATCCGTGCAGTTGAATTGGTATAACCGACTCAGAATGTAGTCTTCAGACTCTACTATGAGTCTGAATTTATGAGGAGGAAAGACCCCGGCTTGGCTCTCAGATCCCAGCCTGGTTTTGTAGAATAGGCAGTTAGAAAAATGTTGATGTGAGTAGTTAATTAGACAGACATAAACATATAACCCTAAGTGGGATTGTAGTCACATTTCAGAGTGGAACAGGACTTTAAGGGGGAACCCACTGCTAGGGAAAGAAGCAGCAGTGGACCAAAAGTAGGAGAAGAACACCCAACCTTTCTTGTGTTCTCCGGGGACGCATTCTCACTGTTTTCCTGCTAACATACAGAGCCCAAATGGAAAATGGGTCCTTTATATGGCAGTGGTGAAGCTAGTTTTTCCTACAGTGGGTCTGATGGTGCATAATGTTTAGAATATTTTTGAAACTTATTTTAAACTGGCTCTTACCACCCAGCTTCCACCTAATATGCTGCAGCTTGGGTTTCATCGCTAAGTACCTATACCTCCCGCCAGGCATTGCACGTTTACTGCCAAAAGGCATTTACTGTAAATGCAATCTTTTATAAAATGGTCTAGAAAGAGCAGTGACACTGAACTCCTTTCCAACAATGTTTGCAACTAGTGCTGGTAGTGACTGTCCTTGGCATCTGCAACTATTGATGCAAATGAGTTAAATGTACAATGCACCTTCCGTGTCTCACCCTAGCTTGCTATGATCCTGTTCCCTCAGGTCATGCCGGCGGCAGGCGCGCATTCTGAACAAGTGGCTAGAAATGAGTACTGTGGGCACCGGGGCAGCGGAGCAAGATGTTATGCAGCAAGTTCAAGAAGAGCTGGATCAGGTATGTGGACAAATAGTGGTGTGAAGGCCAGTCCCACAAAGTTACTGAGTAAAAATTATAACACATGGTACTGCAAAGAGAAATGGAACCTGCCCTGAACAGATTTAGTCTAATTTGTATGATTGTGAAACAAAGGCTGAAGGCAAAATGGGGCAGTTGTGGGAGATTAGTAACAGCAGGGTAGGTAGAAGAGGGGAAACCTTGTTTCTTACTGGCCCCTTGGAACAAAGAGTAGAAGTGGCTGCCAAAGGGGATAATGAACAAAGTAGATTAAACTATTCACATTTTCCTCACAACCACAACACAGCTGCCAAAGGAGAAACCCAGTCCTGTAACTTGATACTTTCTTATTCAAGGGGGTAGTGTGAAAGCTGTTCAACCAAACAGCAGTCAGAACTGTTACAGACCCAACTTGCTGGAATGAATTGTTCCTGACTTCACTAACAATTTAGCCCTTTCCTCTTCCCTTCATTTTCTCTTGTAGTTGGAGGTGCAGATCAACTCTCTCACCAAAGTGCTGCTAGAAGGGAGACATTGTCTGCAGAGGTACATCACTCGTGTGAAGGACATTCGCATTGCTTTGGATATGTAACACATCTAAAGCCCCTAAACAGTTCATGCTCAGTGGTAGAACGGGCTGGCTGTTCGTTTGATCTTTGATGTCAGAGGACATAGGCCTAAGGTACATGATCTCTAACTTTCTGAAGGGAAGTAAGCCAAACCTCACTACCATTTAAACGTATATTTCCTTTTGCTGTATGCATATGGGAGACATTGCCTCATTTATTTACCATAGTTGTGATAAGAAGTAGGAGACACTGCTGTGCAGCTCAAAGCTGCACTCAGCTAAGTATTCATAGAGACCATCACTGTAGTATCTATTTAAACTCCCCTGCTTATTAAGAAGCAAAACAATGCTGATAAGACTTTTATTTTAAAATGTTTGAAATTAAGAGTTAATGTTCGTAAGTCATACAGTGTGACATACAAAAACACTGTGCTAGTTGAAAAATTAAATGGATTCTCCCTGCTGGAGAAAGTTACAGCATCACCAGTATTCTCCAGAAACCCTGCTTCTACTTCCTCTGATCAGTGGGTAAGACATTCCTGCTAGCCAGCCAAGTTTCCACAGTGCTAAGACCATCACAAAAAGAGCTGACCTGGTGCAGAATGATCTGTCTCTGACACATTCATACTAAAGTGAACAGTAGCAACTTCTCTCATCCCCTGTTAGGCGAACTGGGTGCTCAGATACTGTGAATGCTGAGTAGTGAGGAATTTAAAGCTTAAAGTTGTTTTAGCCACAACTAAGACAAAAGGCCTCAGAGATAAATTCTTCCTTCCTCTAACCCATTGCAACAGGCTTGTTCTGTTCACAGAGCCTTTAGTTCTTGAAGGGTAATTAGTCATAGCTTCAACCCTTAGGGCTGATGATGTCTGCATGTATTTTGCATCAAGTTTTTAAAAAATTAATGCCTAGCTGGAAGAAGAATATTGTGATGCATAATACATCCTAGCACTAAGGGGCTGAACAAAGGGGGAAGGGAGGGGCTGCTAAGAGCCATTTGAAGCAGCCCCCATTTAATATGAGGAAATGCTGACTCTTGGAGCCAAAGGACTAGTTCTCTCCTATATTGACCTAAACAGGGCCAAATAGTCAAGATCATACTATGAGCCTTTGGCAGGCTATATTACCAGACATGTCTTTCTTCCCTACTGACAAGTGTACAGGGCTTGGCCAACTGTAAACACTTGATTCTGTTTTCTCCAGCACATCCAGGGGAGGCAGACTTTCTTTTACAGGATCAAGATATACAGTGCTGAGTCTCATTTAGAATGAATTTAAAAAAGTCTGTTCAGAAGATCCCCTTGGAACTGGAGGCAGATCTTTAAAGAAAACACCAGCTCCCCTGATGAATATCCACACACAAGGCTCAAGCTGGGAGAGGGCCAGGTTTGATAAGAAGCTAGTCCATTCCTTCAAGGTCAGGGTATCCTATTCACTTACAGGCAATAGACTTCCTTGGCTCAAAATAGAATTTATTCAGTAAGAACAAGCAATACAGTGTAGTAGAAGTGAGTTGCTCTCAACCCTTTTGGCACCAGTTGCTGTTAGTCCCATTATTGGTAATGCGAAGCTTAAACTCCTATTCTGAGTGTCATGTTCCTATTTCCATTCTAACCCTTCTTGGCATGAATTTACAGAGATGAAAGTTGCTGCAGGATGAAGCTTCAGAGCAGAGCACTCAGCTCCAGTTTCTTTCTACCAGCTACAAGTGCAAAAGAAAAATGGAAGTTTGGCTGGGTTGTCTTTTTTTTGTAAGTCCACTGAAGGATAGAAAAGCAAGTTAGTGCACATGGGGAGCAACCTTGGATTGCCCCAAAGGTCCATAAGGGTTTTTAATACACAGTCAGTGCCCATGGCATTTCACTCCGTGCACTAAACTATAGGCCCTGATGTATTTCAAATTGTTTTGTACATGGAGAAATTTCCACACAAAGAACTCCGTGACAGGCCCTGAAGGTTATGACACAAGCAGCAGCACATGTACAGCAGAAGGGGAAACATACTTTAGCTGCATCCCCACTGCAACGAGAAGGGAGCAGACCCCTTAACCACCTGTTATTGTTTTATGTCAGAAGATTAATCGCTCAGTAGTTTTTGGGTGACTGAGGAGAGTAATTACCACTCAGATAAAACAAAATCCTTAAGGCCTAGAATGGCAAAAATAAAACTATGGATTGGGAGAAGAGTATGCAACAGTCTGACTGCTGCAAGCTAAAAAAATACACTTTTTTCAAAAAGATGACTAGTTCAACCACATGGAATGTAGACACAGTGTTTTCAGGTTTAAAATACAGTGCAAAGTCCAGTTTTAAAGGGACAATAATAGGTTAAAAGGCATTTAAAAATTAGTTTCCATACCTGTTACCAGGATGTTATTAAACAGAATTTGAGTCTAGTTTACTGGTTTCAGTATTGATGCGATTAATTTACATTGTGCATTTCACCTTGGTTGGACAATGAAAGTAAGACTAGGCAGTTTGACTTCCTGGCTTCCATACTTTGATGTCATGTTTGCATTAGACATCTGGGACTGCAAGTTTGAAAACCATATTTGACAGAACTGAAACCTTGGGTCTAGGTCAACCTAACAGTGTCCCTTTAAAGGTAGCTAATCTCTCTGCCTTCACCCCTCCCCAGTGTCACTCCAGAATGCAGGCAGGCCCAATAGGAACCTACAGGCTCTGTATGAATGTAACTAGTTTGCAACACATTGAAAGGGAGAGTGTGAAAGACTGTAGGCATAGGATGGGATAGAAACCACCCTGGTCAACATTCTTAAAGGCATCTGTACCTGATATGTAAATGGATCATCTGATTATTTTACTGCTCTCAGCATAGGTATGTGATATTGGGCAAATACTCCTATCCCAGTTTTACACAGCAGTGTTGTCTAATATTTTCCTCACCCAGGTCCTGCTGAGTGATATTTTCCATTAGTGAAGCATTTTTCTTGGAAGTTTGAGTTCCTTTGTATATAAAATCCTTTTGTAGTTTCTAAAGGGACCCCAGGGCCTCTCCAAAGCGGATTTTCTGTCCAGGTTTGAGGTGGAAGTTGAAGTCCTTGGGTGCCTCAAAGATTAGAACGATGGTCGAGCCCAGGTTAAACTCCCCTAAATGTTCTCCTTTCCTCATGGGGATGCCCTCTTTGTTATTGTTGGTTATAAAGCTGAAGTCATTGTAAGAGCCTTTGGAGTAACAGGGGCTGTTAGTATGCAAATCCTGCAGATAGACAAGAGAGAAAGGAATGTGATTTGTGGATTTTAGTATGCTCTATCCATTTACTAGGATTGACAACTCCCTATGCCTGGCCTACAGTTTCAAATAGTAACATGCAACAGTGCTAAATACAAGGTGGAAGAAGAAAAGATCTGGACAGCAGACACCCCCTTCACATCCTGGTCCTGGACTACATTAAGCTAATAAACAGTTGTGCCAAGTGAGTAATACTCGGTAGAAAACTTTTGGGTTTTAACTTTAGCTTGATATTAGTTATGAGGAAATCAAATAATTAACCAGCCTTGTTTCCTCACATGAGTTATACAGTACCACTGACTCACTAACAAAGTGAGACTTCAAAGGCAGAATTTGTACTCACCCGGTCGAAGTAGATGCGGATGGAGCCAACATTTGTGGCTCCTACTGCTGTTAGGGAAAAAAAGCCATGTTTCCAATCACCAGTAAGTACAACCCGCTCATTATGGCAGAAGAGTTCCTTGATCCAGCGGGCAACACCAGGATTCACAGACATCAGGGAGCCTGTAGTAAACAGGAAGAGCAAGATGAAATATTCTTTGTTCTTGCGGCAGTATTTTGATAGATTTAAGGCACAATAATTTAGAGACCAACAAAGAAAGGCCAGATTAAAGCTAATTTCTAAGAAGTGAGACAAATACTAAGTATTATCAAGAATATGAAGGATCAGAAGATGCACAGAGGTTCTGTTGCACTGTGCACAGCAAATAAAGCCTTCAGCTGGGCAGTAGCAAAAACAGAACGGTTACTAAGGGTATGTCTACACTGCAGCTGGGAGTATGCTTTCTAGCCCACGCTTCCAGCTGCACTGTAGATACGCTAGGTGGGGAGCAGATAACACTTGAGTGTTCTTTAGCTCATAGGTTTCAGAGTAGCAGCCGTGTTTGTCTGTCTCTGCAAAAAGAACAGGAGTACTTGTGGCACCTTAGATACTACCAAATTTATCAGAGCATAAGCTTTCATGGGCTACAGCCCACTTCATCGGATGCACAGAATGGAACTTATAGTAAGAAGATATGGATATACATACAGAGAAGGTGGAAGTTGCCATACAAACTGTAAGAGGCTAATTAATTAAGATGAGCTATTATCAGCAGGAGAAATATGTGGACTCTCTCCTCAGGCCCTACCCAAGATCCATAAACCTGGAAATCCTGGACGCCCCATCGTCTCAGGCATTGGCACCCTAACAGCAGGATTGTCTGGCTATGTGGACTCTCTCCTCAGGCCCTACGCTACCAGCACTCCCAGCTATCTTCGAGACACCAGTGACTTCCTGAAGAAACTACAATCCATCGGTGATCTTCCTGAAAAACACCATCCTGGCCACTATGGATGCAGAAGCCCTCGACACCAACATTCCACACAAAGATGGACTACAAGCCATCAGGAACAGTATCCCCGATACCGTCACAGCAAACCTGGTGGCTGACCTTTGTGACTTTGTCCTCATCCATAACTATTTCACATTTGGGGACAATGTATACCTTCAAGTCAGTGGCACTGCTATGGGTACCCGCATGGCCCCACAGTATGCCAACATTTTTATGGCTGACTTAGAACGCTTCCTTAGCTCTCGTCCCGTAACGCCCCTACTCTATTTGCGCTACACTGATGACATCATCATCTGGACCCATGGAAAAGAAACCCTTGAGGAATTCCACCATGATTTCAACAATTTCCCTCCCACCATCAACCTCAGCCTAGACCAATCCACAGCTGTCAATTTCCTGGACACTGCTGTGCTAATAAGCGATGGTCACAACCACCACCCTATACCGGAAACCTACTAACTGCTATACTTACCTACATGCTTCCAGTTTCCATCAAGGACACACTCATTGTCTATAGCCAAGCTCTAAGATACAACTGCATTTGCTCCAATCCCCCAGACAGAGACAAACACCTACAAGATCTCTATCAAGCATTCTTAAAACTACAGTACCCACCTGCTGAAGTGAAAAAACAGATTGACAGAGCCAGAAGAGTACCCAGAAGTCACCTACTACAGGACAGGCCCAACAAAGAAAATAACTCTACTAGCTGTCACCTTCAGCCCCCAACTAAAACCTCTCCAGCGCATCATCAAAGATCTACAACCTATCTTGAAAAATGATCCCTCACTCTCACAGATCTTGGGTGACAGACCAGTCCTTGCTTACAGACAGCCCCCCCCCAACCTGAAGCAAATACTCTCCAGCAACCACACACCAAAAACACTAACCCAGGAACCAATCCTTGCAACAAAGCCCGATGCCAACTCTGTCCACATATTTATTCAAGTGACACCATCATAAGACCTAATCACATTAGCCATGCCATCAGGGGCTTGTTCACCTGCACATCTACCAATGTGATACGTGCCAGCAATGCCCCTCTGCCTTGTACATTGGCCAAACCGGACAGTCTCTATGCAAAAGAATAAATGGACACAAATCTGACATCAGGAATCATAACATTCAAAATCCGGTAGGAGAACACTTGAACCTCTCTAGCTGCTCAGTAAAAGATTTAAGGGTGGCAATTTTGCAACAGAAAAGCTTCAAAAACAGACTCCAACAAGAAACTGCTGAGCTTGAATTAATATGCAAACTAGATACCATTAACTTGGGTTTGAATAGAGACTGGGAGTGGCTAGGTCATTTACACATTGAATCTATTTCCCTACGTTAAGTATCCTCACCCCTTCTTGTCAACTATCTGTATGGGCCATCTTGATTATCACTACAAAAGTTTTTTTTCTCCTGCTGATAATAGCTCATCTTAATTAGCCTCTTACAGTTTGTATGGCAACTTCCACCTTCTGTGTGTGTGTATGGATGTATGTATGTATCTATCTATCTTCTTACTATATGTTCCATTCTATGCATCCGATGAAGCGGGCTGTAGCCCACGAAAGCTTATGCTCTAATAAATTTGTTAGTCTCTAAGGTGCCACAAGTACTCCTGTTCTTTAGCTCCTATCACTATCATCCAGCATGTCCGAGGTCCTGCTACATCCATCCCCTAGAAACAACAGGAGTTGAATGAAGGGAAAATATTTATGCCAGAAACTAAGGCATATTAACACCCCTCTACACATGATATATCAACCTTGTTAATTTTTGCCCTGGGCTCAGACCACAGTATTTCACCCTAATGCCATCTCTCAGAGTTCAAAGCGTCACTGTTACATGCCCTGAAAACATTGCTATCACCAAACAGGCAAGGAGGAGGAACCCAGCTACCTAATGAACTCAAACCAGAACAAGCCTGTTTCTGAGCCTGGATTACCAAGTGCTCCACAGGAGCTGACTAAGATCTGACTACACAACAGCTCTACCTCTAAAGTCTAAGGACGCAGGCAAAAGTCTTTATATCTAAGGGATGAGCTCATTGGGCTGCCTCGCCAAAGCTTTAGGGGAAAAAAAACCCCACCCCAGCCAACCCCACCAGTCTCTCAAATGCCCTTTGCAACGTGTGAAGAAGTGGTTGTGTAGCACTACAGATCTGAGTCACCATAGCTGGCCAGATGTGAACATGAAGGATTAATAAATAGATCTAGGATCCCGAAAGAAAATGAATCACAATAGGAACCTTAAAGGTTTCCACCCTGTCACACAATACAGGGGAGCACACAGTGCATTAGAATGTTTCATTCTGTACTCCTATGCACATTGCTCTATTTCAATGGCTCTCCTGGCAGCATTTCCCTAAGAAACCCCTGGCTTAAAGGGTTTACTCAGCCACAAACCTTAGCTTCACGCTGAAGCTTGGCAGATCAACTTTCTTGCCAGGTCTTGTCTCTCTCACACATAGCATCTGAAACCGAAACCAAGTCCAACTCCTCTCTTTGTTCCTAGGTAATTAAAAAAATGAATTTCCATCTGCTGGACTAAGGAGCATGACTGTCTGTGAAGGAGAGGGCAAAACTCCATAACCCCAATTCAAATCAAGTGATTGTGCTTAGTGTCGTCTTCTGAATCTCTGATGTGCAGGGTTATCCACAACAATCAGATGCCCCTCTAGGACATCCTCTCTTTTACCAGCAACAGGGCAGTTTACTGTGGTGGGTGAGGAATGCCCTTGTTCCCTCTCAAGATGCTGACTGGCATTCTTCAAGCTCTTAACAGCCATTTCAGTAAAGTCTGCTGGAAACAGATCTGGGTCTCCGTACACCTCTTTGTTTAGTTGAGAGAATTAGGTCTGTTGAGAGACCAAGTTATCCATCTTCAACATTACCAATTTAACTCAAATATCAGACTATTAAGCCCTGAAATTCATTAGCACAGTATTCAGGATTTTGGGGAAGCATGATCCTCAATGTGTTTTTTATGACAAATAGCTGCCCTCTGATTCTCTAGCACATCACAATTCAAGTGCTCTGACTGAGGCATCTCTCAGTAATCCCCCTGCTTTTACACCTGCTCTGTTTCCCCTTCATGGAAGTAGAATCTACCTGGGAAGTGGCGTCTGTGCGACACTCTCCAGTCAGTGGGCGAGTGGAAGCAGTGATAGTCCCCAGGCGCCAGGTAGATGACACAGTGATAGAGCTCGTTCCCCTCCTTTGTGACTAGCTGGTTCTGGAATGAGTTGCAGGATGAGGCTGCAGTGGAACAGCAGAAGACAAAAGGGGTTAAAAAGAACAACCGAAATAATCTGTGAGAGAATGTATTGTGAGACAAGTCTCCAATGGGAAATGTGCTACTATGATACTCAGAAAACCAGTGTTAACAGCAGATCACTAAATACAGCCCACAAAGTGACCCTGGGGGCATTCACTGGCAAGAGAGCTTAATAGATGAATCAGCAACAGAATTCCAAACATGTAATAGCCCTCAGTGAACACATTTGTTGGGACCATGCAGAACCCTTTCAGGGTACATGGTAAGGAGAGGAGTCAGCCTTAAAATTAATTCCTTGAATGTCTTCAGTGTTGAGCATGCTCTCAGGCCACACCTTCTGCAACTATAAACTAAACATTTTCTTACTTGTGTTATTAACAACCCTTTGATTACTAAAACAGGAAGAATTACAGAAATCCAATTTACTTCTCACTACTGATGCTGTTCACTTTTCCACTTCCTTCAGCTTGGACAGTGAAATCAGACTTGTCAGTGTTTGGGTTGGGTAAATGCTGCAGGAGAAGGCTTCTGGCAAATTTTGTAAATTTGATTTTACAAAAATCTACATTTTACGCCACGCTGAATTGACAGGGTTCCTTAACTCCTAAGATTTCATGTAAACTGGAGGCTGATACTTGGATCATAGAGGGGGATACAGAGCATGCAGTGGGAGGGATTTGCCTTGTCAATTTTTCCTTTGCTTGCTCCCTATTACTTTAGGGACAATTCAAGCTGACCGTATGTCCCTCTTCAAAGGCCCATTGTGGCTACAGGAAGCTTTGAAAGAAGAGTACCCAGAAAGTAGTTCTTCAAGGCCAAGAATCAGCATTTTAAAAAGCTCGTGTCCCTTTAACACACAGCTAGGTTTTAAACATCTTTGAAGTCCAAGCCCAGAAGAATCCAACGAACTTTAAAGAGCCCCAGCTTCCCCAGACAAACAGCAGGGGCTTGAGACGGAGTCTCATAGAACACAAATAATTTGTCTTAAAAGACACCTCAGAACTATTGGGGTGTAATGTCCCAGCTTACAAAATGCTTTTAGTTGCATTTGCATACACATCACAAAAACAATTCTGGAGCTTTCAAAAAGGGCTTCTTTCTGTCACATATTGTCTATACACAGGTTTAACACAAGATCCTGACACCCAAACCAAGGGCTTTGAAGACAGCTCTATTTCCACAGAACAGGCACAGCAAAGACAATGACAGCACAAACTTCCTCACAGTGCCCCAGCCCTGACCTAAAAGGCAGACCTCTAGGCATGAGAGCAGAGATCAGTCTCCATACAGGGGGTGCTGCTGCATAAATTGGGTCTAATAGACTAGTTCATGGATCTCAAACTAGAATTACCAGGAGGTCCGCATGAAGACTAATACATTGGTCCGAGGACTGCATCACTGACGCTACCCCATCCCCCTGCTGTCCCTGGCCCCATCCCCACTCCACCCCTTCCATAAGGCCCCACCCCACCTCTTCTCATCTTCCCCAGCCTCATTCCAACCCCTTCCCCAAAGTCCCCACCCCAACTCTGCCCCCTCCTTGCCCCTATTCCAACCCCTTCCCCAAATCCCCGCCCCCGCCCCACCTCCTCTCCTCTCCCTCCTGGAAACCACTAAGTGCCACCAAACAGCTGTTTGGCAGCAGGAAGCGCCTGGAGGTAGGTAGAGGAACGGGGACGAGGCACACTGGAGGGGGGAGCTTGACAGACACAGGAAATAACTGGGGCGGGGGGGGACCCCCTGGACTAGTTCCTACAGCTTCCATCTTTGCTAGCCAAACATCTGGACATGTTTCAGCCTCCCAGCAGGAGCAAGCCTCATTATGGTCACAGACCTTGAAGTTACCCAGAATCTACCCAATATAACCATGCACTTGAGGGAACTGAAAAGTTAAAATGTAGAGAAAAGGGCTGAGGCTGCAAGTGAGGGACAGGCTACTAAGGAGATAGAGGAATCCAACATGGAACATTACACCCCACATGTTATTCCTCAGTTTGAGCTATAATGAAGCAGAGTTGCCTAGTTGAGAGCAGATAGCTATGATTCACCCCGTCCCTGCAATTACCAGGAACAGTGAAATGACAGAAACAGGCTAGGAGGCAACTTACTTTGGCTAAACTGCACGTCTTCTGTGCTGGTGCACGGCCCGAGGAAGGACTCCAGCGAGTAGGTGACACCCTTCACCTGTTCCACTTCGCAGTTTTTCACTTGTCCAAAGTTCAGAATCTTTCCATCTGAGGGACTGATCTACAGGGAACAAAAAAAGTAAACTGCAGTGAAAATCCATGCATCTCTCACACTTAGCCATCAGAAACACAAGTCCACTGATCATTTGAACCCCAACATTTCACATCTCTTCCCCTTTATATAACCTCTCGCCCCCACACAGGGATAAGCCTAGTCTCTTTTTGTATCAGACCTTTGATATTTTCACAGAAAGAAAGGCAAATAGGAAGGCCCGTGAGATCCAGAAAGACCATTATTTGTTCGAAGTGAATGCCAATGCTGTGACCACTACAGAGACTTTGAGAGCACCTGGTCCAGTCCGGTGTCTCGAATAAATCAGACTGGACTTTTACCTACCCCAACCAAGTAGTTCAGTTAGGGCCATGATCTGTTGCCATACAGACAGGCTGGATATGGGTGTAACCAAGAGCAACAACCCATACAGAAAAGGGGTGAGTGACAGACCAACAACTCCACTCAGGCCGGCCCAATATTCAGAGTTTTGGCCTACAGACATAGCACACGTTCCAAGGTGAGGGATGGGAACATTTACACATCAATGTGTAGCTCCTCTGGAACAAAATAAAACATTGCAAACCCTCCTCCTCACCACACTGTGATAGCAGCAGACTGGCCGGGACTGGGGCTTCAGCTTTCTGCGGAAGAATTCGCTCAGGTTTCTATAGTGATGAAGATCTTCGACAGCTGCTTCTTTCATGTTCACTCCAAATGTCCAGATATACAGGCTGTAGACAGGCTTCCGGAGCCAGGTGGGCAGCTCGACCTGGTTCAAACGACCCCAGGCTCGTGAAAGCAGTCGTGTTGGTACTGATTTGTACAGAGAAACCTAGAGAGAAAGGTTTCAGAGTAGCAGCCGTGTTAGTCTGTATCCGCAAAAAGAAAAAGAGTACTTGTGGCACCTTAGAGACTAACAAATTTGAGCATAAGTTTTCGTGAGCTACAGCTCACTTCATCGGATGCATTCAGTGGAAAATACAGTGGGGACATTTATATACACAGAGAACATGAAACAATGGGTGTTACCGTACACACTGTAACGAGAGAAAGGAATCACACCATGCTATTTCTGTTCGTTCTACCGCTTTTAGCCCTTCTTCCCTTTGCTCCCAAAATGGAAGAATCCAATTCATTCCTACTGTGACTCCCTTCACTTCAGTGGAGTTACACCAAGGATGAATTTACCTTGAAGTCTTCAATAAACCAAGACCAGAACCTTACCCTCCCTGCCCCCATGCTGATGTGTAGGGATGGGGGACCAGATGAAATGAAGACCACAACAAAAGTAAAGCCAATTTGGATGTTTCATCTGTTTTGAGAAAGAGATAAAAAATCCATTTTGTCAGTATAATTTCTGTTGTTGTTTTTGTTGCCTTAAGGCAAATAATAAAAGCACAAACCCATTCTTCCAATCGCAGCACAGAAGTCCTGCCAGCCACCTACAGTGGAGGGCAGCTACAATGCATGGACCCTCTTCCCCTTGTATGCTGAAGCTTCATATGCAAGTTAGTGGAAACTGCTCCCAGGAAGCTCACAGAGAAGCTGTGCATTTGGGACATTCTATTACAGCACTAATTGGAGGCAGTGAAACATTACTAATATATTTATTTTTGTGAACAACCCAAAGAAAACTGACTTAGAAATACATTTCTGTTGGCATTTCAATGCCTAGTGTGTTGCTTCTCCCAAGCCCATCTATTTCTGGAATTATAAAGTACCTTGTCTACACATAAAAGGTGCACTGCTTTTAACTATACTGGTATAATTAAAGCAATACAACTCCTCTGGTGTGGACACAGTTACACTGTTCTTATACCAGTGTAGCTTATTACCATAAAGACAAATAAACTATATCCATATATTGCACCTTTCTACTGGCATAACTGTGCCACACTAGGGCTTATATCAGTGTAACTATAGTGGTCAAACAAACAAAAAATCACACCCCAAACGATAGCTTTATCAGTAAAAGAACTGTGTGTACACCAAGCCTTATTGTTTGGGCAATCTCCAAAAACTCACTCACCTGTTGTTTGTGGTACGTGGTATCACCCACACAGCTCACGAGAGCATGTTGTAATCCCAAAAACATAGAGGAAGGCTGGAGCCTTCTGAAATAAGTTTTGCACAGTAAGCTGTTTTCTGAAAACCTCTGGTAAAAGTTTGCAGAACAAGGTGGCTGGTTAATTCCAACTCCGAGTAAAAGGGTTCTCTCATTTCTTTCCTAAGAGGCACTATTTATTCTCTACTATATGGGTATCCCTCAACGTTAGGACCTGCAGAATGTAGCAATACAGACCCCTCCAGAGAACTGGTCTTTTAGCCCGTATGTTCTATTAAGCAAATTTATTTCACCTGCTAATGGATAATACTCCACTCAACTCACCTTCACTCAGACCAGTCCAGTATTCTGAGTTTTGACTGTGCTATGGATGATGCTTAAAAATAAAATCCAACCATTAGAGAGAGAGCGAAAGAGCACGTCAGCTTAATCTTACTTCAGACTGAAATGTTTTAAACCATCTATTGTTACAGGTAACACTTTAGACCATGACAATAGAAGGATGAGAGAGAAATACTGTTCTGTTTTTTCTCGTGTTTACACTTTGCACATTTGACAGGCGTTGGACAGAGTCAGTTTCATGTTATCCCTGTAGAAAGAGTTTCACCTATTTGTGGACAGTCACAGAAGAGATTTAAAAAAAAAAAGGGGAAGGGGGTGATTGCAAAACCACAAAAATTGGGAAGACAACTTGGGGACAGGTGCAGTGCCTGAAAATACATACTTCACTTTTGCAAGTGATGGGGTTTCAAGTTGATAGTCTCTGTTTAATGAAATAGCTGTCAAAATGGCATCCTCTCAAGAGCAGGCACATTTGTATAAGTATGCAGGTCCATGTACTGAAACAAAATTTCATCATTTGAGTCAGGGATGCCTGCATTAGCACATCCTCTGGGCAGTCAGCATTCCAGGCGCCCAAGAAGGAATTGAACAGCCAACCATTCTCACACACAAATTGCAGCAGCAGAGAGACTACATGAATGTGTCCATGAAAAGGGATGGAGAAGAGGCGTGGTCTGCCTTAGCCCTAGCTCTGATATTTGTGGGTGTTACTATCTGAATAAATGCAGCTGTTTCCACTGATTCCCCAGCTTGGGAACTTGTTTGTTAGGGGATCATAACAAATTCTATGCCCTGAAAATTCATCATCTGTCTCTGAAAGGAGAATTACATAATCCCTAAAGCTTCACCACAAAGGAAAAAAACCACACGCAGTTGGGGGAGAGGAAGGTATGAGCTGCAGTTCTGCTTTAATATCAGCCATCAGCACCATGCTGTCTCCAGCTCTACTGTAGTCTCCCCCTGCTGCCAGCCTCCCTCCATTATAATAGAACATTTGCCCACAGGGTTGTTACAAAGGAGAGACCTGCTCACACTTACCCTGCTCATAGGCCTCCATCCCACTCTGGTCAAGGGTTTAAGAGCACCGAAAGGCAGAAGATAATAGAGAATAGTCAGAGGCCAAGAACGGAGTTTCAGAGCAGGCCTAGACATACAGCTCAGCTGGCCCAACCTCCGCCTCAGGGCCAGCTGGGGGAATTGCAACCTGTAGGATCACATACACACACAAAAGGGTCAGCCAACTCAGCCTCAGAACCACCAGCTCCTGACAGAGTTTGTTCAATGCTTGTCAGTGATTCTGCAACTCCCTGACTTTGGTTCAGATCTGCTCCTTTCCCAAAATACAGGAGCAGTTCAGCTCAAACATGAGTATGAGCTGCCCGGGGCACAGGACAACTTCCATTATTCATGCCTACCGGCAAATTAATTAAAGGCAAAACCTTTTGCATTAGACAAAGGCTGAGATACAGGTGAAAACAAGGCAGCAACTGGTCCAGCCAGGTAATGCTAGAACATACACAATATGATATGGAACACCAAAAGGGGGAAAACCCAGGAACTTCTTTCAAACACCACAAGAATAAGTAGCTACTCAAGAGGAAACATTTGCCTGTACCCTCTCCAGCTCCTGGAGAGTTAGAGTGATCAGCCCAGTAAAGCACTTTGAAAGCTAGCAATCTAGGATTCTAGGAATAAAATCCCTATTTAGGGCAAAAAAGTGTTAGGCAAGTGCTAAGGAAAGAACAGATGATATTCCAGTGAGACAAACAGCCACAAACCCAGGGCAATGTCGTTTCTGGCTCCAGGATTTCAACAAGATCTGGCATAATGGGAATCCTGCATTTCAGAAGTTCCATCCACAGTGCTGTTCCTACATGCAATAGTGGGATGAAACTGACCTAATCCTAGACTCTCATTCTGTTGGGAGAGAGACAGCTACAGTGCCATAAGCACAGTGTGCTCCTGCTAAGGGAAAGGGAAGTGCATATACTTGCTCCTCTCTCCTGCCTGTTTTTAGCAGCAGCAAGAGGGACTCATGCCTGTACCTCCTGGTCTTGTCAGGTGAGCCCCAGAAACAGGCAGCAGCAGAAACTGTCAACATCAGACAGTACCCATCTGGACATAGACACAATAAAGTCAGGGTAAGTCCTAGAAAGGATCACAAAAGCCATTGGGGTCAAACTGAAGTGCTCCTGCAGCAGGCCTGCTAGCAGTTGGTTCCACCTGGCCAGCTATTTAACACTTCATAGAATCATAGAATATAAGGGTTGGAAGGGACCCCAGAAGGTCATCTAGTCCAACCCCCTGCTCGAAGCAGGACCAATTCCCAGTTAAATCATCCCAGCCAGGGCTTTGTCAAGCCTGACCTTAAGAGACAAACAGAAGTGGGATTTGTGAGTTAGTGCACACTGCCCAAAGAGCAGAGGTCAAAAGGCATCTTTCGGGTTTTACATTTCTTACTGGGCACCTCAGTCTTAGACAGATGATACAAGAACTAAAACACACATCCTGCCAGCGTAGCAGGGTAGTTACTATCTATGGCCCATTCAAACTTTGGCCTCTTTAGCAACTGTGTTTAGGTGGGGTTTTCTGTGATGTAGATGCCTGAATTGAGAACAAATTCATTTCACACAAAGAGCCATCAGGTGGCTGACAGACTATGACTTGTGGTCATTACCAGTCTGGGCCAGAATTGAACCAGTGACTCAGCATGGAAAAGCTCCAAACCTCATTCCTGTTTCCACAAGACATCTCATTCCTCCAGTTTTTGCTGTGCTTGAGTCTTCCCTGGGCAAACTCTCTTATTCCTTTCTTCTCTTGGGATCTCCCCAGGGTACCTCATGCTTAGCCTCATTCTCAAGATTTTCTGGGTCTCATCATTAGGTTAATGTCCACCCAACCCAGGACAAAACATCCAGGTCTGTTTGGCACCGTGCTAACAGCTGGGGAACAATTCTTCTCCCTGCATCTTTGGAGGTGACGTAGTGTGCTGAGCATGACTATATGTGCATGCTGATTGGAAGGGGAAGGCTCCTGCTACAAGTTATTTTGAAGAGCACTCCCGTCCCTTGCAGGATGAAAAAATTTGAAGCGTGAGCTGTAACACACTCTACAGTTCTCTCCAAGAGAGAAAGGAGCTGGGAGACTAGAAAGGGTCAACTTGCCCTTCTGAGGACTTGGGTCAAAAATTAAAACATCACCTGAAGAGATGCAACTGTCACCATGTGGGCTCAAGATGGTGCCTTTGGCTCACCGATTTACTCTGTAGGCTAACGTTACTAACTCCAAAGCCAGAGAATGGCCGTGTGCTGGAGTGGAAGAAAGACCTGAGTAGCTGAAGTATTGTCTCAGCAGCGCTACAGCAGGCCTCAACAGCATGAGGCAAGACCAGCGCACAGCACAGGAATAAGAGAGACAACTCACCTGCAGCTCCTCCTCCCTCTCATCCGCCAGGGCCCAAGAGCCTGACAGAGAGATGGCCTCTCCAAGAGTTTCAGAGGACAAGGTACTGCTCTTCCCTCCCATCTCCTTCTCCCTCCCTTCACTGCAGACGATCATGAACCAATCCCTGCAGAGCTGCATCCGGGCAGCTGGCTCTAAAACCCCCTTCCTTCCCATCGCCTTGGCCTGGTTTTAGAGGAATCCCTCTCTAGATTTTTTGCTCTCCCATTGATCAGAAGGGGACTGGAAGAGAAAGGAAACATTATTTCTCTTGTACAACAGCAACCCCTCCCTTGCCAATTCAGCGCATAAGGAGATTTATAGTAATTAGGCCAAACAAAGGTTTTGCAGATGGCGGTCACTCCTTCTGCCCATCTACCCTCCCTTCCTTATCTCGCCCTTCAATCGCCATCCTGCAAAGCAGAAAACACCAAACAGTACCTGAAACGGGCTCTCCTATTTGGTGTGCCCCCGGCAGAGCCAGCTGGGCCTGGACTCTCCAGTTGCAGGTGCTGCTCCCCGGCACAGCTGCCGCTGTTCCCTGAACGTAGCCTTCGGACATGAATTTTAACTTTGTGGAGGTTGTAGCAAGAGAGAGGAGGGTTAGATAAAGCTTTACAGCATCTCACCATTTCCCTGCGTGCAGATCTGGTCCCTGCAGGGTGTTTGACTGACACATCATCAGGATGGCGGTCGGTCGTAAGTCTCAGTCTCTCTCTTTTTTTCTCTACCTCCCCTTCCCTTGCTCGCTTCGGCACAGGAGGGAAGACACGACGTCACAGCTCCTAATTCCCCCGCTGGTTTGTCTCCGGCTTCCCTCTCTGTCTCTTTCCCACTTGCAACTCAGCTACGAGGTTCCCAGCTATTGCAAACAAACAGGCATTGTATCACACTTCAGCAACCCTCTGCAAAAGCAGCTTTGTGCGAGACAAAAGCAACCTTTGCCAATAAGCAGCCCCTGCTCCTCTCTAGCCAAGGTTGCCATCGAAGCTCAACTCCCAAACGAACACTCTGCAGTGTCAGGCTGCTAGTAACTAATGCACTATGATCAGAACTGCAGCCAGCTGGCCACGCACAGTCATCCCAAGAGCCAGCCTGAATGCGAGGCTGGGAGGAGGAGGGATGGTGGAGAAGAGGAGGAGGGAGATAACTCATAGCTTCAATTCTGCACTGCAGTAACTGCAGCTAGATCAGTTCTGGACTACTGAGCAAGTAGATGTGTATGCAGACACTCACTCTGCCAGAAAACCCTTTCCTTCTCACACTTTCCAGCCTGGGAACAGAGGAGAGGAAAGGGAGGGAACATCTTTTCTACCTCATACAGTCCAGTTAGAGACCAACACCCATCTCAGGACACCCTTTCCATCCCACACTGTCCAGCGAGGGAGCAGGCAAAGACAGAAAAAGGGAAAGAACGTTCCCTTACAGATATACATCCCTACACTGAAACAAACAAGTTCCCGTGCCAGCTTGAGGAAACAGGCTCTGCAGAAAAAGTTGAACAGATGCTTTATAAAGAGCACAAGACTTCAACAATTTTTACATCCAGCAGAACTCAGAAACCAAACCACCAGTACCATGGGGGCAAGAGAGGTTGTTGCAGTCTTGAAGACTGCACACCCATTTTGCATGGACAGATTTTGGAATATTCATTGGGTGAGAAGTTCTCTTCCATATTGCAAATTATATCTGAAAGCTGTTGACTAAAAACTGGCATTTCTGTGTCTCTTGGCCGCAGCACCTGGATTGCTAAAGAGGAAAACTAGCAGCAATAGGAAGCCAGAGCCAGAGATCAGAACTGAGCTTACACCTGGCTTCTGTGTCAAGTCCAACACCAGAAATATTTTATGGTTCAATATTTAAGCAAAATGGTTAAACACTGGTTTTTGTCAAAACTAAGGTAGATACCAGTTTAGTATCTCCAAAGCATGCCCACCCTGCTAGTGCCACAAGTGATGTGGAGTGAGTCAATGAGGACTTTGCTGCATAAACCCAAGGTTGGATAGGAGGTTATATATTGTGCTGAGGGGAAAAGAAAAAATGGGGGCAAATTTTCAACAGAAGCGTGATCTAAATCAACAGTGTCCCTTTAAAAACAGGTTTAAAAACACTTAATCAGACTAAGGTGGAAACCATTTTCACCACCAAGATCACAAGAAATGCTCAGCATGCATGCAAGTTCCAGAATCTGTGACAAGGGAAAAAATACAGCACTGGTATAGAAAGGCCAGGAGACAAACAGTGCTGTCTAACAAACATTTTCTCCTCCTCCTCACATCCCAGACATGCAGGGACTCCTACACACAAGGAACCTGCATAGGGTTTTCCTCTTTGTTGTGATTCTAATCTTGTTCTCCAAAGGACCCCACCCACACTTCACATTTGCTATGGATGAGGGAAAGGCCAGAGCAAACAAGTTTCATCTGCACTCACAATTTATTCTACTCTTCCTTCAAAAGTAGGTGAGGTAAATACACATTTCAGTATAGTCTATTTCAATGGAAACAGCCCAATTATCTCTCTCCTTTCAAAGAACTTACCACATCCTAGATCAAGAAGGCAGGGGTTTATTTCCCCAAGATTTTACAAAAGAGTGGAGTGAATTGAACAGCCAACCTGCACCCCAGAAGTGAATGAACATTGAAAATATAATTCCGTTGTTTAATGTTGAGACTACTGTACATTCAGATAAAGTTCATGGAAAGGGAACATGTGATGGGGGCTACCCCCTTTGGGGCAAAAACCATGGCATGATCGACTCACCTTCCTAGGTGAAGTTCCCAGGGAGAGAGAGGGATTTCAGTACTATATAAGCCATACTGCTCCATGGCTACACAAAACTCACCTCCTCTAAGTAAGAAGCCTTACATTTCTCTTATGTTCTGTCCTACTGACCCCATTACACTCATCAAGATGCAAATAATGACTATTACCCATGGATGAGAGTCTGCCCCTCTTCTTGGCTGAGACCCGCTTAAATACGGACATACAAACATACATGGTGAGTTGCCATGTCAGCATCTACTGCACAGGAGGGATTAAGGATACAGCAGGGTTTGGCTGCTCAGAATCGAAAGATGCCCGCAATGGAAGAAAGAGGAAATGACTGGATCCTGGACCATGCCAACCCTACTCTCAGCCCAAGTGTTCTGAGGAAGGTTGAAGGAAGGGACTGGCCCAACTGAGCCTGGGCATCAGTTACTGAATCCCCCCGCTGAGCGATGAATGTGACGGATTTACACCTGGATTTCTTCTCAAATCTCAGGACAGTACAGCAAAGCCTCTCTTACTAGCGTCACTGATGGGCCTCAGAGTTATCTAACTCTTCTGTATGGGGAGTCTGGGGCTTCAGCCCCAAACCACCCCTACCTGCTTGAACTCATCCAGAATTCATATTCAGTGAATAAAGGAAGTAATGACCATCTGCACTATAAATCCCCTGTGGAGAATTATCTAACAACAAACAGCTAATCTGTCAGCTATGCAACTCCACTCTGGTCCATCAGTTCATATAAGCATCAAATCCAGTGACCCCGTTTAATTACTTGTCTTCTTATTATTTCTCAAAGCCCTTCCCTCAGGACTCCAAAAACACTAAGCCGGCGGATTTACAGGAATCAGAGACTGGATTAAACACACAACTGTACATTAAACTGAAATGACATAAGCATGCAGGGCTGGGTTTAGAATCATCCAGCCTGGATGCTAGAAGCCTCTCCCTCCCCACTTTCTTCACTTGTTAACAATATTGCCATTTAAAATATATGGTATAACTTAACACGTACTGTTGGGGAAAGCTGTATGGCTAAGCATAAACCATACAAGTGGAACAAAAGAAAGTATCAAGCAGCAAAAGGTAGGGGTATTCCAAGACCCACATCACACTATTATACAGAGGAGATCCGCTGCTAGTGACAGGTATTAGTTTATCATCAATGGTTTCATTCTTTTCTCCTGGCCATAGTCAATACCTTCTGTTTAAACTTATAGGCACAAAAAATCATCTCTCTTCCTTCCTCACCACCTTATTATTCTAGAGAAATCCAGCAGGAGAAACAATAGCTTCCTCAACAGACAATCAATCAGGAGATCCTGCTATTCTAAGAGCATAACAAAAAGGTGCTTTTGGATATTAGGGAAACAACCGTGGATTGGCTGTTGTAGAAGTCACATGATTTTTAATGCTGTGTATTGCACTCCCTGGATTCCTGCTGGCAGGTATGTAATCCTTAACTCTTCTTTGTGAGTGTCAAGGCCAGGGATCAGCAACCTTTGGCACACGGCCCGCCAGGGTAAGCCCCATGGCGGGCCGGACCAGTTTGTTTACCTGCCGCGTCTGCAGGTTTGGCCGATCGAGGCTCCCACTGGTCACGGCCGCCACTTCCCGCAGCCCCCATTGGCCTGGAGCGGCGAACCGCAGCCAGTGGGAGCCGCCATCGGCCGAACCTGCGGACGCGGCAGGTAAACAAATCAGTCCGGCCCGCCAGGGGGCTTACCCTGGCGGGCTGCGTGCCAAAGGTTGCTGATCCCTGGTCTAGGCACTGGCTGCGAAATGTACTAGATGCCCTGATACAGCAGGTCTTTTTCCATCTCTAGTTTCTAGGATTCTCTTGCCCATTTTTTATCTCAAGCGGGTTTCCTGTAATTCCCCTTCTAAGAGAGAGGTTTGTGTAATTAGCTTCCTTTAAATGTATAGTTGCGCTTCTCAACAAACAGAGAAATAAATCAACTTTTTAGAATGGCCATAAAACATTAGTTTATTCAGCACTAAAGACTGTGCAATGTTTTTGGTAAACAGTCCTTGATCTCTTCTCCGGGGCAAGGAAACAGGTCTTATCCACTTTCGTAAAGCAACATGTAAGTTTATGGCATTCTAAGTATTTTGTAATATGGTTCTCTGTGGTTCTATAAGCATATTTAATTTCATATGCTACCTGATAAAATGCCTTTCACCCAAGGTATTCATAAAGCCAATTCCCTTCTAGGATACAGACATCTAAAATGGAAGCATAAGGAGGGAGGGGGGGAATGGTTGTTTTAGACCTTCCTACTAAAAAGGAAAGCTCTGTTAAGCGCTCTAGAATCCTGAGTTGGAAACTGAACAAAGAAGCTGTAAGGCCTCACATACAATTCAGAAACCTACATGAAATACTAACTACACAAATGCTTCAGACTGGGGGCCGGGGTTCTTTTTAACAAAGGGACTATTAACTCTCTCAGTGTTGGTTCCTCAGATCAGCAGAACTGAGAGATTTCTAATACACCAATTCCTTTTTCATCTGACCTGAAAACCCAAGAAAACGGTGACTAAAGAATTGGTGCTCTTTGGAAGTTAGGCCTCTCCGATCAGTATTTGGAAGTCTAAAAGTGCTTACCTTGGCTGTACAACACTCCTGGCAGCTGCAGAGGCTGACTCTGAATGAAGCTTGTTTCAGTTCCTTCACAGACTTCTTGTTTTTAATCTACTGAAATGTGACATTGACCTGGCTTTTTTGTTTGGGTTTTTCTAAGACAAGTGAACAAAACAATGGAATGTAACCCACATAAGTGTTCCTGACAAATGCACAGAAGACTGGTGCACCAAGAGGGAGGAAAAAACTCTAATCCATGCCCTGCAGAAATCATATGCATTGATGTGTCCACATTCCCATCCTATTAATCCCAAACCACGGTCCTGTTTCCAAGATCAGTTGATTGTGACCTTCTGGTTCTACACTACTTCTTCCGTTTCCTGGCCGTGAAGTTGGATGTATCCACTACATTTAAGTAGGAGTCTGCTGTATTGTGGAGAGCTACATGCTGTGGAGTTTAGTATTACTCTCTTCAACAAAACAAGCTCAGCAAAAATGTGAAACTTAAGATAGTTTTGTTTTCAGCTGGATGGAGCAGAATGATTATGTGAGATCACCACTAAACCCAGCAGGGCACCAGCCCCCAATCATGATCACCCTACACCCAGCAGTCACTACATCCTTAAATAATACTAAATCCCAGTCCTCTGGCCTGACACTGAATCCGACCAACCCAGCACCCTGCTAGACAAAGGAAGCTATGTCTATGCATGCTGTAAGGCACAGAAATAAGAGAGGGTTAAACATAAAGCGATCTGTGTTCTTTGTTACCCACACACCCGCCCTGAATAGATAGAAAGTATTAACCCAGCTGCCTATGCATCTTTCTATACTCTTTAATACTACCCACTGATATTGCAAAAAATGTTCGCTTAGTTCATCAGGATTTCTGAGCTGTAATCCTCTTCTCATGTCAAAACAAGCCACAAAACAATTGTCTCTCACATTTATACAGTTTCTAACAGTTTACACCCTAAATCGGGTAAACGAGGTGAACGCCCCTCAGCAGAAAAAATACATTTTACTATAATATAGCAACAACTTATTTCCCTTCCTCACAGTAGGTATATGCATTTCACCTGCAGTTGTTGCTGTTGGCCAAAATAAACCTCTAAAACACTCCTGGAGAACAACTTCTCAGATCCCCAACAGCTGGCTGGCTCGCAGTCTGTCTACTAGATCTGATCTGACTGCTTTTTGCTTTAAGAAAGCAGCACGATGCAGCTGGTCCTCCTGTCCAGCTCATGTTTCAGCCATTCAGACTCCAGGGTGGGAACTGTTAAGGACGTCCCAATATCATCAAAAGCATCTGCATTCCCACAAAGCCCCAGCTCTCTTTTTCCCCTTTAAGAGGAGGAGACAAGGCGGAAAAAACTGAAAGGAAACTAAAAAGGAGGGGGATAAGACTGCATGACAACATAGTCTCTCAGTTCCCCAGATGGCTTCCCAGCAGTGCATTTACAAAACAGCAGACTCATACCAGGGGCTTGGGAGATAGTATCCAGGCCTCTGTTAACAAATCGCCAACTGAACACATATTAAGACTGTTTAGGCTGAATACCAGGGAAAGTTTCTGACGGTAATGTCTGTTGATCATGGAATAGTCTCCGAAACAACCATATTACTTGGGGAATTTAAAAATTGTACTGGACAAAGCAACAGAAAATGTTCACTACAGAGCAATTCTCCAGACCAGGGATTAAATTTCATACCAGTTGAATAGAAGAGAGCATGTATGTAAAATGATCCAGTTTGGATTTTCTGTTGCTGTTTTCTGACATATTTCCAGAAACACTGATGTACATGTTCCCAGCCAAAGAGTACATACAGTTTTATAAAACCCTTCACAACATTCAAATAGATTGCTCAATAGGTGTCTTGTGCAATGAAAGAGACACTGTAGCAAAAACTATCCATCTAAAAAAACAGTGTGAACGTGACATTGAACTCTACAACATCTTAGGACTAGCTGAAAAATGTAGGGGAAATTGTGGGCAACACTTTTGCCACGTCACCCCACCGTTCCCCCTCTCCCTGTTGAAATTTGAACTGTTTTGAAATTTTCTGATCAACACTACAAGAAATCAGAGATTTCTTTTGTATAATTAGACATATGTCCATACAGCACTCAGGCACCAGAAAAAACAGAGGAGAAGGTATGACACATAACAGGACACCTGGTCTAGGGATAGGATTTCACTCTGCACAGGCAGAAGAGCCAGGGTATGGAGTCGCACAGGTGGAGGATTTTTCATGGATTCTTTCTTGGGATATCCTGGTCTGTGATTCAGGATCTCCCATCACAGAAAATACTATTACTACAACACCATGTGCTGCCTTACTAAAATGGTGCCTCACTTGTCCACAAGCAGCACGACAGAATTATCCCTCTGCTACCAACCCATCTCAGTAGGAAACACTGATTTGCAAAAGTGGTGAGCACCCAACAGATTCCTAAACATGAATTTAGGGACCTAACTTTAGGCTTCTATTTTTTAAAGTCTTGGCCTGTGGTATTAAGCTTCCCCCCCAGAAGAGCTGGTTTTCACCCTGTTATTTGCCGCATACAATATCAGATGTCACTATAAACTAGTGCCACCTCCTAAGGTTCACTGGGTTCTCTAAAGCTGTATCTTTACTTGGTTTTTGCCACTCTTACTATGCCACCATTACACAAAAAATAGAATTGCAAAACAAATGAGATAAGAACTGTGGAAGCAAATAAAGGACAGCAGTAAGGAATTCCCCTCTATTTAAACACTCATCTTGTCACACTGTTTATCCAAACTCACTCTTTGGCCAAGGTTTCCTTGTGTAAATTATGCTATCTGTATATCAACAATGCCACAGTATCATCAGAGAAGGAAGTGAGTGGAATTACTCCTGGATACTATATATCCAGGATACTAGGCACACAGAGGCCTTGGCCAGACAACGTTCTCTGATAGATTTGCGCTTACTGCCTCAAATTCCTTCTTCCACCTGTATGATAAATATCTACCTCTTTCGTTCAGAGCTCTCTGCTTTGCCTCATCTAATTAAACGAAAGCTAATCACACCCTTTAGTAATCACAGAAGAGACATACTAATAAGTTAATCAGTTCAAGCTATAAGCCACATAATGTCTCCAGGAAAGTTATGAAGAAAAGTCCACGCCAGAAACCAAGTGTTCTCTGTTTTCCTGTCATAAATGGAAGCAATACATTAAAAATTTAAGGCACAATGGGCCTAAATTAAGTTAAATATTGTTTTAGTCCTTCCTCTCCCTCACAAAGATTTTGTAAACTAATATAAATAGGAATATTTTCATGATTTTAAAAATTCACTGAAAAATAGCATATTCACTTTACTGCAGCGATATCCTCGAACAAACCTGTGCTGTGCTAGTGCATGAGAACCCGTCACTGAAAATGACTGTCCTAGTTTCAATGATGTGCAGCATCAGTGGTGAAAAACACAAATGAGATACATAAAATTTCAGCTTTAAAGAAACTACATGTGGCATACAGCTCTTCCATTCAGGACTGATTTAATGCTTTGATGAAGGATAATCACGAGAAGACGACAAACCCTTGAAGACCATATTTAAGCCTTTGTTTAGTGACAAATATTAATGATACATCCTGTATGAAAGTTTTCAAAATATACTTGAGGCAGAGAGAAGAAATTGCTTCTACCCAGTTTCATTTTTTTATATTCCAACTCTACTTTTTTGCTGATCAAGATGAATCAATATTGACACATTATATATGGTTACATACTAAAATAATTCAAGTAGGAATAATTATTGAGGCACAAGTTATTGCTTATTTTTTAATTTTATTTCTGATTGTGCATGAATATATACACTTTGCTAAACAGAATTAAAAACAAAGCTCTTTCACAAGGGACCATATCTACCTGCAGGTTTTCACAGAACCTAGCACAAATAATAAGCGTTTTGCCAGTACTGCAGCATTTCAAATGCCTCTCTCCCTCTAAGCTGTCCCCAGGCTCATCCCCTGGCCTTATAAACAAGGAGATAACCCTCCTCTCTCCCTTGCCAAGTTTGCTTCCAGGGATGCCAAAAAATGCGGAAGGGAAATAATGCAAAAACACAAGTCAACAAAAATAGATGCTCCAGTTTCCAGGGAAAGGCACAATATAGCTATTATTTTGTTTCAACCCTTCATTGTTTGTAACACCCTCTTTGAAATCTGAAAATTGTTTCTCCCTTTTCCAGGTATTTCCCATTTGGCAGCCTTCCCTTCCCCACTCCATGAAAACATACAATGGAGAGTAAGCCAACAAAGTAAGTATCTGAAAGCAAGTGGGAAAACCTGTCAGTGTGCTGTGTGCATACCTGCTCACCTGGAATCCTGCTTACACATTTGAAATTCTTTATGCAATTCCTCCCTACACAAATAAATCCTTCAGTACCAGTCTTGTCTAAAGCTACATCTACGCCTGTACCCCAGAACTTAAAAGCAACGCCAAAAAAACACAAGCCAGAGTATTAACACAATGGAATAAAAACAGTTTGGTAAGGAAATATTTCAATTTCACACTTCCAATGGGTTTCTCAACAATGAAAAAAAATTTTTAACTATGAAAAATACTTTAGTGTCCTTTTAAATACGACTACTTCCCGGAAATTTACAAGTCCAATTTATGGTACATAAAGCCACACAATCTTTTACTAGCCCTATTCTAAATAAGTTCAAGCAGTCTGGGAAAGGAAAGCCTCGAGGATAGATTGCAGATAAATCCCTCACAAACTGTTACAGTACAAACTGTTCACATCTGGACTCTTAGGATCAAATCCAATTTGGGTCCCAAGTAAAAGTCAGTTTAGGGATTCCAGTCTAGTCCCTAATATACATATGCCCAAAACACAAAACCACACCAACTGGCCAAGCACTCAGAAATGGAAGAGGAACAGAAGGATGCTACAGGTCAGCTTGAGGCAGAGGAGCATGTTCTGCACTGGCATCAGTCCCTCATTTTCAGAAATGACAAATTTACTCAAAAACAGAGTGGGGCAAATAAAGTAGTTTGTAACTAGCTGCCTGTATGTTTTGCAACAAAACAAACCTAACATATACATAATAAACTGTTTGGTCAATGTGGAACTCTATAATGTATTTAATGTTCTGTACATGATATGACAGTTATATGGGGTTGTGTAATTTTTCTGTTTTTTGCTAAAAATGGGTCATTTAGGTTACTACAGAACACATCCATGCACCTGATATTCATACTTCAGTTTCATTACAACTTATAAAGACAAAGTGACAATACTAAAGATCTACAATCACTAGAGTAGAGAAGGAACCACCTTTGAAGGGACAAGCTCTCTTTAATGGTGCTCATGAGCTAGAATCATTAGAGATTAAGGTGATATTGTTCTGCGAGAAAGTTCTCAGAAGGTGTTCACAAGGGATCTAGATAAGAATTGCCTTCATACTAATTCTGAATAGTAGTCACATTTGCATGGTACATTCCCTATCCAAGGATCTCAAAGCTTTTCACAAATATTAATTCAGCCTCAACTTTCTTGTGAAGTAAACAAGAATTACCCACACTTTCACAGTGGAAGAAATGAATGCATAGAGAGATTATGTGACTTGCAAAAGATCATGCTGCAACTCAGTGGCAGAAGTGAGAATACTACCAATAATTCCTGAATCCCACTCCTATGTTTAGGGGTTAGACAGAGCAATCTCCTTCACGTGCGCTGGAGACACCTATCATCAACTAGGATAATAAACTCATCACAAAATGTTTTTCAATGCTCATATATGTAACTGCAGAATGCCAGTCTGTATCTTTATTCTGTATCATATATACTGTTTGTATTTCCTGTTTTAATAAAAAAATTAGTTGTGGATGGCTTTGGGTGGCTTTTATGCTAGATTTCCATTTCAATACACAACAGTTAGCAAATTTTGAAAGTGCATTAAATCTTCAGATATGCTACAACTCACTAGCATTATAAGAGTACTCCAAGGCTGGGACATGAGAACATTTCTTCTACTGAGC